CGGCGTCTCTCGGCGCTGGGGCGACGCGGCCTCATCGCTGTCTCCCGCCGCCTCCCACCCCTCGCTCCGGCTCCCCGGAGGTGCCTCCCTGAGCGCCTGCTCCCCGTTCACGCAGCCCCCCGGGCGGCAGCCCTGTGCGGGGCCGGAGGGGGGATTCCCTTTCCCTAGGCCGCTGCCGGGTCAGGCCCGCTCCGGGTTAGGCCCTGCCGAAAACACCCCGGTCGCTTGCGGGTGCGTCAAGGTCCTGGCGTTGTTGTCTTGGCTCTGTCGAAATCGCTTATCGTGCCGTCAGACGTGGAAGTGCGGATGTGGTTACACCGACGCTGCGGAGTCCGCTGGCGCAGTTTGTTGTGGACTGGCTAAAGCCCTTTTTGCCGCGCGAACTGTCTGTAAGTGGAGGACACCCAACCCGTGTCCAGCAGCGGGTCGCCCGCCCGCCGCAGCCCCTGCCGCCGCCTCCGCAGGTCAGTCAGGGAGAGTCTGCCTCAGGCACGGTTCAGCGGGTTTAAAATCTCCTGTCGCGCCGTAGCACATCCCAGCTAACCAATTAGCATAAAATGGTGTTGCTGACAGCTTACATCGGCGTGTTGCGCTGTACCCTGCAGTGATCTTGGAGCAGAGGTGTCTGGTTCAACTGTCAGTGCTATCAAGAAAACAGCCTTTGGTATTAGGATGCCATGGACAGCTGGTGTTTTAATTGGATGTTGGTAGGGCCTCCGCCCAGCGGAATGTGGGTATTGCTGATGTCCTTGAGGAGGCGTTTTAAGGAATCAAGTGTATAAGCAGAATGTAGTGGCTGTAAGGTTATTTTTCAGAAGCTTTGTAGGAGTAATCTTGTAGTGAGAGTCAAGTTAATGTAAGAAATGAAGTCTTCATTTTGATCTCTCCTCCTTGCAGGCTGCAGAAGATGTCAATGTTACTTTTGAAGATCAACAGAAAATTAACAAGTTTGCAAGAAATACTAGCAGGATCACAGAGCTGAAAGAAGAAATAGAAGTGAAAAAGGTATATTTGCTTCAGATATCACTTATTCATTGTTGCTCTGAATTAATTTTCAGCTGTAACACAGAAAATAGGGGCTGTGGATTACTAATTTGGGATTTGAAAATAGTCGGAGAATGTTAAAGTGGAAAAAGAGGTCATGAGAAATAAAGGGCACTAGTGTATTTCTGCATGCGGTTCTTAGAACTCCGTAGTTGTCATACATGAAGCATTGTCTATATATAATGGCTGTTTGTAGTGTTCTTAAAATTTCCTGCCTGAGATTGTTCATATTTACTTTTTCTTGAACCAGTAAGGCCGTTGTTTGTTACGTTCTTCTTTCGATGTGTTGACAGAGATTGTCATTATGAGTGCAGAGGTTTTCTTTTGCTCGGCTGAAGAGGGTACATCGTTCTAACTTTCTTTTTTAGTGTTAATTCGCTTTCCTTCAACATCAGTCGTAGCATTTCCAAAGAAGTTTTACTGAGTTTTTTAAAAAAATGCTAGTACTGTCACAAAATGTTTTCTATAATGACTTTGCCTGATATGTGTATTGTAAAAATGTTGCCTTTTTATGTTGATGTTCCATTGATGGCTTAAGGTGCTGGGACTCTAAGCAATCCTACTTTTACAATAAAGTAATTAACATTTGCCATCTTATTTATTATTTTTTTCTGTTATCTAGCTAAATAAAAGAATTCCTGTGTAAGAGCATATCAGATATTGGTGAAACTTAAATCTGAAGTGTTTTCCCCTTGTCTGGACAATTAATTATCCTATTAATGACAGATAATGAGTATTGACTAGAAATTTCTACTGGTACAGCTCCATTGAATTAAATACTTATGCTAAATTACAGCTCTGGAACTGCTCTGTTAAACATGTTGATATCATGCTGGCAGGTAGGATTTTTGCCCAAAATGAAGACTCACCGAGTTCATTATTCAGCTGATAGCATGACAATGTATCTATTGAAATAATTTACCTAGTACAAAGTGACCACCTTTCTTATGTCTTGATAAACAGAAACAACTTCAGAACTTGGAAGATGCTTGTGATGACATCATGATGCTTGACGATGGTGATTCACTTCTGATACCCTACCAAATTGGAGATGTCTTCATTAGTCATTCCCAAGAAGAGACACAAGAGATGCTGGAGGAGGCAAAGGTTTGTCTGGGCAGTGAGCATTGGAATGGGATGATCTGTTCATCCTTTGAACCTTTTACTTCCTAAAGTTCATGTTTGAATTACGATTTGAGGAGGGGGATGTGCATGCACGGTAAGTCGTAACTGGGATGTCAGTATACAAAGTCATGCTAGCCTTTGTTTGGCCCCATAATAAGTCTTACAGCCTGACTTGGCAAAAAGTTGGCAAAGAGGTAATACTTTGTTGTTTATACGTTGCTGACAAACATGACTCAGTTTGTTTTACATTACTAGTTGATTTTTTTTTTCTTTTTCAGAAAAGTTTACAAGAAGAAATTGAAGTGTTAGAATCCCGAGTGGAATCAATTCAGAGGGTGTTATCTGACCTGAAAGTTCAGCTCTATGCAAAGTTTGGAAATAACATAAATCTTGAGGCCGAGGACAGTTAAAGGTGTTCTAAATATACCGTACAACTTTTCCTTGTTTTATTAAATGTTTTGACATTGTTACAATTACATTTAAAAAAAAAAAATCCACCACTTTTTTGTTTTGTTTTTTGTTTAAGTTTCCTGTCTTGGGTTCCATCTATTTAATCAGAGCTTTCTTATTTTGGTTATTGCAGTTATTTATTTGTTTAGGAAACTTCGTACTGTTGGTAAAGCATCAAGATTGGAATATTTGCATTGTTGATTAAAGTAATAAAGTCAGGCACATATTGTAGTTTCCTTGGTCTTTCCCACTTATGAAAATACTTAAGTATAAAAACAATAGAAATGGGGAATTTTTGATTTGCACTGTCATGCCTGTTTGAGAAAAGTTTCTCTGTAATACATAGGGCATGATCTCACAGTCAGCTGTAATGCTATTTAGCTGTTTTTAGCAGCCCTCCTGGAAATACTAAATCTATCCTTTGTCTTTCAGTCCTAACTCACATAGCACAAACGCTGTTAGCTCAGCGCACAACATGGCAACAAGTTGACAGGGGAGAAAGGAGGGCTCTTTAAAGCTCGCATTGGTATTGAAGAAAAGCTTTTGGAGTCACAGTCATATTCAGTCATTTACTACTTTGTATTTGGGAATCGCAAAAGATGCTGTAAGTCAGAGTGGTGTCTTAACTTCTAATTTTCCTGAACAACAGTTTTATAAATCCACATTTATATATCAAATTAATGTCAGAATTGTTCTTAGATGATGTTGCTATGTCAGCATCAGTCCCTGGAACTGTGTCTCCCATCACTATGTGGAGTTGAATGTAATTTTTAAATGTCTTAATTTGCTGACCCCTTACATCCTTAAAAAAAATGAGGTGCTGTCTCACTGTAATTCAGCTTTTGGACTGTTGCCTGCTTTGATTAATGTATTGTTCCGTGGAAATACCTGCTCATTATGACTTTGTTTTTAAAAATTAAATCTCAGCGTACATAAATCGTCTTTTTAAGCTATTTTCCAAAACAGTGTGGACAGAGAATTCAGTTGCCCAAATATTAATCTACAGTCATTGTTTTTAATATGAATAATCAGAGTATGAGATGACTATATATTTATAAAGTGATTAGTACCTGCCTATCATAGATCAATCGCGTAGCATCTTTTCTTCAAACAGTGTGAATGTGGGTGAAAAAAAACCCCCACTTGGTTTCTCTATTATTGAAGTAGTTTTAACAGGGTAGTGAAATTGAACTTGGATTTTCAGTACACCTGAGCAGGATTTCACCAGTGGGTTGTTATTTATGAATTACAGCGTTGTAACTTACATAGTTGTTTACGTAAGTTTGTTAAGGTTGTATATAAGGTTTAGCATAGCCGTAAGAGAAGACTGTCTTCAACAGCGAAGCTCTAATACCTCAACACGAGCACTTATATTACATACAATGTATATCAGCTGCTGGCTGTAAGTCTCAATAGCTGTGCTAATGTTCTGTCTAGCCCTGGCGTTTCCCAAGTTTCTCTTCGGTAGAATTCCGATGGTTTGTATGCTTCTGCTGCTGAACATGTGTACAAATACCCTGGCTATAACTGTACAGATTTTTAACCTTGTTTTCTAATTGGTTGTGGTTTTAATTCAAACCTGTGCCTCAGGAAAGAGTTCAAGTTTTTCCTTACTTTCTGAGTGAATACTTCGGCTACTCTTAGGTAAAATGTGGATATGGTAGCCACGGCAACTCTGCTGCTCTATCTGCCAGCCAGTGCTTGTTGCAAATCAAGTGTGTTGGGCCTTCAAGGAGATATAGGTGTTCCTCTGCATAATTTCTGAACCCTCCATACAGTTTTCTGCATTAGGTAGGCATTTGGCACCAAACTACTTGGAGCAGTTCTGGGTTGACCAATTACTGTTATTTTAGGCACTAAGGGGAGAAGAAGGTGGCCATTTATTTGAGAGCAGGTGATAGGACTGTTGTGGACTTAGGTGACTCAGCTCTGCCTCACCCTGCTTTATTAGATATAGCTTTTAGTCCTTCAGGACAGTGCAGTTTGAGAGCTAAGTAATGCAAGGTTACAGTCATAGGAGGTGCTGGTATCTTGAGGTTTTTTCTAAACAGCCAAGCAATTCATTTGGTATGTTAAAATAAACCATCCAATGCACTTGTCTTTATAATTATAAACAAAAGAAAATGTAAAAGACTTCTTTTTCCAGGTGAAAACTGAGCTAGTGATGGAGTTTGACCCATAATGAGAAGCATCCAGCAGATGGCATCAAAGAACTGGGAAACCCATTTTATGGTAAACCCATGCCTAGGCTGTGAGTGCCAGGGCTGATTTTAGTAAAGTGAAACTTTGGCTGCAATGATTACCTTCTCATTAATTGGTTGGTAACACGTTAAAATTCACTCCTAAGTGACTGCTGTGCCAGCTCTGCAGTTCTGAGCATATTCACGGCTGTGCAGACTGCAGGTATTTAAAACGATCGTGATTTCCAGATAGGCCACAGTATGGATATGGCTTCATTACGGGGGAAAAAAAAAGGCAGCTAGTAAGGTTTAACTGTGATTCCAGTGGCAGCTGTAAGGCCGATGAGGACCTTAGTTCAGTAAAGGACCCAAAGGGAGAATGCTGGCAAGGTGTGGAGAGCTTGCATTATCCTTGCTGTTCTTCGGTATTATAGAAGGGGAATTGTCCATATATACAGCCCTGGTGTTTAGGGAAAAGAAGGCTGTTAGAGTGTTCCTGTAAATGCCAAAGGCCTTTCCTGTCTGGTGCTGGATTTTAGTCCTTTGGGGTTTGTTTTGTGACATCCTCCCCCCTTATTTCCTTTCTTTTTTTCTGGTTATCATGGTGTTGGTGTATTTTAGGCCATTTCGCTAGGCCTTCCTGTGCTACTGGAGTTTAGGCTTTTACACATATGATGCGTCTTTCCTGTTTGCTTAGTCCTTAACTACAAATTGTATGTCCATGAAGCCTTGAAAATCTAGGTGCCTTTTTGCACATGTAATGTCCAGTTTCCTTGTAAGGTTTGGACAATTGTGTTTGCAAGTCAGGCAAGTAATTATGCAACAAACTTTTTCAGATTAGTCTCTGGATTTTTGTAGTTTACAGAACATGCTGTCCCAGGCTATCATTTCATATTTTTATACGTGTAAAATAGAACATTCAGGAAACTTTTTTGTTCTTAAGTTGTCATTGTAGAAGTTAAGTTGCAGATTGTCCATCAGTTGCTTGAAACTTTTTGACAGAGTCCTAGTTTTTCCTTTTAATAACCTTTCTCCTCCCTAGTGAATATATGTAATTGTTTCTCAGTTGGCATTTATTCTGGTGCCCTATCTTCAAAGTACCTTTTATTTTTGGTAGATTGGAAATTTCTGTTATCTCTAATAGTGTTCGCCTTACAGTTATCTTGTTCAGATAATATAAGTCCATGAAAAAAACCCTGATCCTTTATGCACCTCTGTACATGTCATGAATCATTTAGCTGCACTTGGCAATATACATTTTTTAATATCGTTGTCAGAATGCAAATAGTTTACTGTCGTTCTCTGTATTGTCAAGGGAGTGACATTTGTAAAGCACTTCAAAGATGAAATGTACCGTAGAAGTGCTAAGTGTTATTTTAATCTAAGGGCTTCGTTTAGAGCATTGGGCCAATGATCTCTTATGATCTCTTAGTGATTGAATTAGCTATTCAGCTCCATTTTTGTATTAAAATACAGTTTCCATACTGTTTTTGTTTGGCAAGTCACAGAGCCACCAGTGGCTGGCTTTTCACTCGGTTGCAGCAATTAAAGCAGGTAAACTAGCAAAACTGCAGCCAGTGAAATATAGCTCATTTCAGTGCATGATGTCAAGGAGACTTAACTTACTAGTTTTTCAAAGCAGCCTGCTAAAAACTCTGTAAACATAGTAGGACACAATTATAATACTTGTTACATTTTCAGGGGCTTGTTTGTGATTCTGTATCTTGTCAGCTGATACAAAAATGTTTTCCACATGATGATCTCTAGCATAACCTTCCTCAGTGGAACTTTCATTATTGCTCATTGCTTTTGTATAGAAGATCCTCGGATACCATTACACTCCATAATGTAAATGTGGTTGATAATTATTCAGTAATTATAGGAAGCGGTGTGTAGCCGAAGTACAGATAATTTTGTGGTATTAACTATCACTTCAGAGAGCAAAAAGAGATTGAATGCTGAATACTAAAGCCATATTTTCTGTAGGAGCAACAGAATTAAGTAGTTTGGTTTGCATGAGTCAGTGGTTCAGATAATTTACCTAATGTTATTCTAATAGTCTGATTCATGAAAGAGAAAAAAAAAAAAGTGGATGTGTATAGGCATGATAAGGCCTGACAGAAATTACTTAGAACCAAGTTTGTCCTTATATTGATTGTATGAGTCATACAGAAAAACAAATTATTTTGCAATTAAACGTTAGCTGCTGATTGGACTGCACAGGACGCAGTGTACCAAACACAGGCATAAATGGCTATGAAGGAGTTCCCTCAGCAAGAGATGAAACAGGTTTACAGTTAAGGGGGACTGCATCCAGCTGTTAGAGATGTAATAAAAAAAAAAAAAACTGAGTAGAACGTCAGACATTTACTGCAGATTTACAAAAATCTTTTGTTTGCTGTTGCTCTCCAAAGCTGGTTAGTATACTGTGACTTTGACCTCAATTTTTAAACTGCAGGTATCATTAGGTGGCCCTCTAGTCATGCCAGCAAACCCCACACTTGGAGACGCTGAGTGATGGGGTGCAGGGTTATAATGTAAGTTCATCAAAGGATTGCTTCAGGATAACCGCTGTGGTCTGGTCTGGCATTGTTACCACTTGTACATCTTGTCTCTCCTTTCCCCTGTACTTGATGTTGAAATACAGGCTCGGCCAGTACTATGCCTGGCCATTTCCTTAAGCTATTAGGAAAATTTTCCTGTTTGCTTTCTCAACACAGCCCAGCACAAGTGAAGAAAAACATTGTTCAGTGGATTTTTAGATTCTGTCAGGTTTTACCCCTTCAAGCATGGTACAGAAGTCCATCATATCATCATGTTTGGATGATTTTCTTGCCTTGTTAACTGTAGCTAATAGGATTGTGCATACCAGACTTACAGTGCTCTGGTGAAGTTACAACTTCTTTAAAATTATATTTACAGTTGAAATTGCTACTGTCTATTAGGTATCTGGATAGAAGTGTGAATTAAACCAGACTCATTGGTAAGGGCTAGTCATTGAACAACAACAACCTATAGCACACAAGTATAAAACCTGACTGCCTTTGGGTACACAATGGCAGTAAATCAACTCAGATAAAAAATATTAATCTCAATGCACATGGCTAAGGACTGATGGTAACTCTACACCCAAGACTTTTTTATTAACACTTCAGGGGAAAATAATAAAACTTTGTTTCATTTTTGTTGCAAAAACTCTTTCTTCCCCAGTTGCTTAATATTGCTATTAAAAGTTCATCCATGAAAGCTTTAGTTTGCTTTTGAAAATGTCTCCCAGCACCAGTGTTAAATGTGTCTATGCT